TCTTTTATAATATTGACGTAAACACTCTTTCATAAATCTATGTTGTTAGATGAAAGTGCCTAAAATTTAAAATCTCGAAAATTTTGTATATAGAAAAAACGTGATTAGTCATAAAAAGGCATGTAAAATACTTCACACAAGAAAAATTGCAATGGGTCTATATTATTAAGTTTGCAGCACGCGTCACATACAAGAGACCTTTGTTTAGAGGCACCTCGTACCTAGTACACAATTTTAACTTTTGTTTAGATAATGGGAAAGAACAAAATCAAATTCCAGGTCATGTGGTCGTAAAGGCTTTATACCATGTCATGAACCAACTATGCATGCATATTAATGATCTTAGTATGTACTAAATATCTAACATGCGACCAAATCTCCCAAAGACTTAAGTTATTTTTTGGAGTATTAATGAAAATGGCTATATATCTTTTAACACACCCTTTCAAGAATCTTTTGGACTAGAAGCCAGGAGAATGCACAAGTCACTTTTATCTTAAGCTGAAATTAAACTTGATCATTAAGAATGGGTATGGAAAAGAGTGAAAGCCTAAGTCACTAAGTGATACATCTCCAAAAGCTTTAGCTAATTCTTTGATCAACCAAGAATGCTTCTATATCTTTAATGAACAGTATATAGATTAAGTAATCAAGTTAATTAAGAGAACACAAAGGCACCTTTTGCAAAAAAGGAAAAAAAAAAAAAAAAAAAGTAGTCTTACAATTGGGTTATCTGGAAGTCTAGGATCAGATATCACAAAGTTCTTTTCTATTCGTTCCAATGTGGTTGCTAGATCAATTCCTTGTCTTATGTCCCTCTCTCTTTGTGAAAGCTCCCAATTGTTAGCCCACTCTATTTCCTTGGTCATCAATACCTCTGGTTCAATAATGGTAGGCTTCTCTTCATCTTTCCCTTTAAAACTGCATAAAATAAAAAACATTTCAGGCACATATAATGAGTTTAAATTTGCAAACTAAACATTTATCAATAACTCAATTGAAGATATAGCTTTAATTTCCAAACAAACTAATATTTTATCCTTTTATTATATGTAATTAAAATTTATAACAAATAATATATATAAATAATTATTATGTTTGAACACATAAATTATAATTAAAATTTATATAAATAGATCTTTTAAAATATGTAAATTATATTTTAAATTTATGATAAATGATTTATATTTTTTGAATCAATTTAAAATTTAACTTGATTTAACAACTAATTTAGATAAATATTTCTTAATCATTTCAAATTATTCTTATTTTATCTTTATTCAAATATTGATTTTTTAAACAAATTATTTTATTTTTTATTTTTCTTTTTATATTTAATTTAAATTTTAAAAAAAAAACTATTAATAATTAAAAATAATCTCATATTACATCCTTTGACTTTTTATCTAAGTTATTTTTTATTTATCATAATTGTTTATGAATTAAATTTTAATATTTTAAAATAAATTATCAATAGATAAAATATGTTTAAGAATATTTATTTATAAAAATTTTAAATATAATTTTTATATTCAAATATTTATATGCATATATAATTTATTATAACTTTTATTTATATATAATAAATATTTATTAAATTCTAGTTATATATTTATTTGTTGTAAATTCAAAATATAATTTATTTATTAAAAATTATAGTTATAACTAGTATTCTAATATTTACAATTTACAAAATAAATATTTATTTTATATACTGATTTATATTGTAATACAATATTACTTTTAGTTATTGATAATTTCGTTTAGAATATTTAAATTTAATTTAGAAATAAAAATAAAATGACTGATTAAAATAGATGAAAAAATTAAAAAAATCTTTAAAAATGCTCACATTAAAAGAAATTTAAAAACACTCTTGTTAAGAGTTTGTAAAAATATTTTTGTTTAAGATAATTATTTCAATTTTTATATAGAGACAATTATTGATAATTTAATTTAAAAATATACAAACTTAACTTAAAAATAAAAATAAAGTTATAGAAAGTTAGGAAAATTCTTTTAAAACGTCCTCGTAAAAAAACAAGAAGTTTAAAACGTTTTGTTGATTAGTGGTTCCAGAAAAATATTGGATATTCAATATAACTATTATCATCTATACTATTGAGTATACCATTTTAGTTTTCATTTTTGTTAAGACTCATTTAACCTTTAATTTATTCATCTATTCATTTAAAATATTTTATTTTTATTTTTTATTTGTTATTTTAATTAAAAATATGTTTAATAACTATACATTATCTTTTCTACTAACAACAATCATCATTATTCTTTTAATATCTTCTGTTATTTTAATTTTTTAAAATAAATTAAATAAATATATAGAGTCATAGAGTGTCATTTTTCCCTTTTATATTATCTATAATAATAGATAAAAGAAATATATTTTTTAATTTTCACTTTTTCAAAATAAATTTATATTTTAATTAATTAATTTATATTTGTTTCAAAATATTTTTAGTTTTAACTTTATTTATTATTCATACACTTTCTCTTTTAAATAAAATCATCATTAACATGTAGATATATAAATTTAAATTAAGCACAACCTCGACTCTACTAGTTTATATAAAGAGAATTGTTGATAATTTTCTAAAAATATTAAAAATTAATTTAAATAAAAACTAACCAATAAATTATAATGGATAAAAAATTAAGAAAATGATTTTAAAATACTCTTGTCGAAAAAGGAATTTTTATCCATGAATAGTCCTTAAAAATATTCGGACTCAAGATAAACATTTTGATTTATATTCAGAGATGATATAATTATGTATTTACTACATTTATTTATGATAAATTTAGATATATATAAATAAATAAAATAAAAAAATACCTCTTAAAAGAAATTCGTCCTGATTTTCGTGATGACTTGTTCTTATCCTGACTAGAGCTCATGCGTTGCATGTTGAGTGGAGAAGTTTGTCTAACAGCTGTACTTGTATTCCCAACATCAGCAGACTTTGGCAAAACAAATTCAAAATTCAATTTCTCTGCCTCTTCAATTTTGGTAGAACTATCATCATTCATGTCCTTAATAATGGATTTTGGGTCCTTAACAGTTTGCACAACCTCAGTTATGGAACCCAAAGCTTTCTCCTTTTGACGAGCTGGTAAACCAAGTTAAATGGTCACATCTAAAGTCAGAATCTCACACATCATCACCAACATGTTTAGATACAAATTTAAAAAGTATTTTTGAGAGTCAGAATCTACAGAAATTTTCTTATATAATTTTTCTAAAACATTACAAAATGTTATACTAGTTTTAACTTATGCTACAATTTTTTTCAATTTTTATTTATTTTTTATTTTTTATTTTATAAAAATGCCTCTAGAATTTTATCTTATAAGACCCTAAAAATGGTTCAACATATTACCATCATAACGGATTAATGACTTGGGCAATCCATTTGGCCGTAATGCCTTTTCATTCACACCTTCTGTGTACTTGCTCACCTCAACCTGCATTCTGTAGCAAGTAATAACTGTATTATGCAGTATGAATATTTCAGCTGTTAGTATTACTAAAATAAAGTACATTCTAGGATTGCACTCCTAATCACTTTATCTTGGACATTAATATTTTGTCAAAGACACGTCTCTTAAAACCTTGAGCTATTAAGCAAAGCTCCAAGAATGATTTCATATTTCTGAGCAAACATTTTGTTTCAAACCTTTTGGCTTTGTTAACATAAAAGGTTGCAACTATCATGTGAACTTCAGAAAAATGATAGATACTATGTCAGTATGCATAACTTTAGCAGGTAGGACTGACCCAATGAATTTGATAGTATTGCCAAGGTCATCTTTGATTGGGGTGATAGTGAGAAGATTCCAAAATGGAGTTCCATCTTTCTTGTAGTTTAAAAGTCTTCCACAATAGCTTCTCCCATTTGCAGTTGAATCCCGAATTTTTGCCACTTCATTCTTATCTGTCTCAGGCCCCTGAAGAAATCGACTGCAACCAGAAAATGAAATTGGCTGCTTGATTAATAACCATAGTTTTATTATAGTTAAACATTAAGGGCCTATAGTTAAACATTAAGGGCCTGTACTTTTAGAAAGCACTTATAAAAGAAGAAAATATGAGGAAAAATTTAAATTAGCTTTTCCATAAACTAACATTAAGAACCTGTCCTGTAAAATTTCTTCAAAAACACTTACAGAGGTAATGAATATGAAAAAAGACGAAATTAGTTTATTTTTTAAGTTAAAATTAACTTATGAATAAATTAAAAAAAAACTAACATGATTAAACTTTAACAAATTAGTTATGCATATAAACTAATTTTAGTTTATAAAGAAGCTTATCTTATTTTTTTTACATATTTTTTCCTATAAGTGTTTACGAAGAAATATATCAAAACATGTCCTAAATCCCCACCCCTCAACCTAATATTAGTGTTTGTATGGACAAATTTCTCTAAAAGTACTTCTAGAGAAAAAAAAAAAACAGAAAATAAAATCAACTTTTCAATAAGCTAAAATTAGCTTAACTTATGTATAGGTTAATTTGTAAAAAATTTCTCTTATTACTAGTATTCTATAAGTCGTGAAGAAACTTTTTTTTTTTCATCGAATTTTTCTCTCTTATAAGTATTTCTGGAGAAGCTAAATGACACATGCTCTTAACATAAAAGTTAGTGATTTGCACAGTATGTTTTGTTGAATTAATAGGTTTTGGTGGTAATGGGTGGCTAAGGATGTAGAGTGTGGAGTGAAACAACATATGCTCACCAATTCCTTCCAATAATCTCCTTTGAAGAATAGCCAGTCATGGTAAAAAAGCCACTGCTGGCATACATGATGGGGCAATCTGGTTTGGTTGCATCTGATACAACAAATGTCTGTTGCAGTGTTGCCAATGCTTCCTTCAACTCTTGTGACACCCTTGGAAACACCCCTGATGATGACTCAGATCCATAGTTTGACTCCCCAGAAGTTCGTGTTGATTCACCAAATCTATCTGAGTTATTATTCTCTCCCCCAATTGCTTTGAAATTCCCTGTGTTCACCACAAGACCCCATTCAGCAGTTCTCTCAGCTATAGCTGCCTCAGTCAAAATTTGATCATCAGGAGATGGCTGGTTTTTTAGATCATTCACTTGTTGAGTTACACTTTTCTCCTTCGTTGCTGAGTTGCCATCAGGCATTTTAGCAAATGCCATCCATTTGTTCACAGGCTCCCTACTGCTTGCGGAATTGGAAGGAGCAATTACAACATTTTGACTATCTTGCAGTTCGAATATTGGAAATGAATCACTTTTGGCATCAGGATCATATTTGGCAGACAGGTTCAGTTTCTCCATTTATGACTTGAGTTCCCTCTCTTGATTAGTTCAAACTAAAGGGTACCACCAACACCTACCAAATTACACAAAAAATAAGTATGTATGTTCAGTCTCACTATGTCTCAAGTAATGGTCATTCAGGATCAGAAAACCAAGGTCAATCTTAATTGATACAACCATCAAGCCAAGACATACTGAGACTTCTAGTTCCAGTGATATTAAATTAAGAATAAATGAATGCTGGTATCTTCATAATGGAAGCAATCAAACTGGCCAAAAATTAATAAGTGAGTCTACGCACATGACATAATATGTAATAATAAATAACACATATATAGAACAATCAAACTGGCCAAAATTCACCAAATCGTGCAGAAATCAAGTAAGAGTTTCTTCAAGTGAAAGTAATCTCTCACAGTCTCTTATTAGGAAGAGAAACATTGAAACGTGAAGACTCTGAAAGAAAGTGTCAAAAGTAGGCGTATCTGGCCTCAGTTGGATAATTAACCTTCTTTTGTCGAGTGTTTCTGCTTTCACTTCATGCTTGGCCTCAAATGGAAAAGATAACGCTCGAGGTTCACATAAATACAATAAAATATGTCCCCAACGCCTATATATACTTAAAACACTAAATATTGGTGAGTCAAGAAGAAACGTGTAATATCCACTCCATACACCTTATTGGTTAACAACTTAACATATATTGGGTAACATAATAGTGGCTTCGAGTTCGAGTTTGAGTACGGACATGTAACTATTAAATATTTGGAAAGTTTACCATCTTGGTTTTATCCGGTTGGAACAATATAAGTGGTCTAATTGCCTCATGAAAAAAAAAATGAAAATCACTAGTGTTGACGTAGATAATTCATTGGATTCTACTTTTCTTTTCTTTTCTTTGGTTTTCACTTTAGTTTCAAATGTGACCGTTCATTCCATTCCTGAGAAATAAATGAAACTTGTTGAGGAAAGGAGAATTGGGGAGGTGGGGTCTGGTGCAATTGTGAGGCCACAAAGTATTTGGCGTGGCATGTTGTTAGAGATAAATTTCGCTATCCCTATTTAATATTTGGGTTCCCTTTAGAAAAATGACAAGTGGGAATAATAGAGGGGAAGGTGTGTTGTGTGGCATTGCGATGTGGTGGTGAGAACTTCCACGACAAGGGAAACAACCATGTATTAAGCGAATTATCATATTCATGTCTCATACACAAACCACGTGGGAGGGATCATTAGCCTTTGCCTTCGTCAGGCCTCGACACCACGGCGCTTTCTCACTGATCCCACCCCTCAACACAAACACCAACAATTGGACAACAATTGAATTGATTGACACCTTTGCTAGTCAGTAACAACCCTTATTGTAGTTTGTACGAATTGTTCTATACTTTTATGGCATTGTTGTTTAAAGGTTTTTAATTTGTCATCATTTTGATTTACATGATTTGAATCATCATGTACATAGTTTAAAAAGAGAATATTATAGTTTATTTAAAGAATAATATATTAATTTGGCTAAAAGCCTAATTTAGTCTCTTATAATATTAAAAAGTTTCAATTTGATCTCACTTTAATTTTAAGTTTCAATTTGGTCCCAATTTAATTTAAAATACCTCAATGTGGAACTTCTGTCCAAATTTGACTAACGAAGTTAACTTTTGGTCACGTGGATGCTTACGTGGAATGACCAAGTTAAGTTTTCTTCTTCTCTCTTTGTTTTATACTGAAACCCTAAACCTCCACCAATTCATGTAGCGCCGCACCAATGACCATCGTGCCGTCGTGGTGGTGGTGATCAATCTGTGGAAGTGGCGCAAAGGATGCTACACGGAGAAGCTTGAGACGTGGATGCGGATCTAGAAGTGGAACAGGATCTACGAGCTCAGATCATTGTCACCGTTCCTCCTCGTCTTCGTCGGTGACGTGGAGCATGTGGCGCACCGATGGAACCAGCACGGCCTCAGCGGTGAAAATCTCGAAGGGCTTTGCCGCGACTTGCATCCTGGTCTGATGAGTCAAATTTGGACGGAAGTCCCACATTGAGGTACTTTAAATTAAATTGGGACCAAATTGAAACCTAAAATTAAAGCGGGATCAAATTGAAAATTTTTAATATTATAAGAGACTAAATTAGGCTTTTAGCCTATTAATTATTTAGTGTGTTTTTATCTAAGTAGTAAGTTTCTTGAGACTCAATTTAGAACATCAAATTTCACAACGCAAGGTAGCCAACACATTGTACTTTTATTATAAGTTAAATTAACTACTTTTATAGTCATCCTATTACGGATAATATTTGGTAACATCAAAGTCTAAAACTCCTACATGTAGGAATTGTAGTAACTTAAATCAAAGGACTATTTTACTATGGTTACCATGAGAAGCTTATATAACACTTACATAACATATTATGTAGTCTTCTTATAGTGAGTTTATCCATTATAAATATGTACCTCTAATACTTATGTGTATGTCTGGCTTAATATTCTTATATCTATGACATGTGAGGTATTGATGGAAGACCATGGGCCAAAAGTCCGATTACTAGAGCTATGGCCAAGAGTATTTATGATAGATGGGCTAGCTTGGAGGATGGTGGGCTTTCTAAGCCCAAGCTACTCTTTTCATGGTCCATCACATTTTGAGGCTATATTGTATTTAGAATATGGTTAAGTCTTTGTATTCCTTCTTTCCTTGTATTTTGGGCGAATTTGAGAATAGGTTTTACATAGCCAATATTGGTCTCATTTTCTTTGTCTTTTAATTTTAGGAATTTTGAACTAGTTTATTTTTTACCTTGTATTTTAGGTCATGTAGTTTAGGACCATTTAGGGTAGAATGGATTAAATGTACATTAGAATGTAAATTAGGATGCATTTCATTTGAATTTGAAGCATGCATGGAAGGCCACACCTAGGTGCCATCCAAACACACTCTAAATTACATTCAAATGGAACATGTAATCCATGTGTGTGTGTAGCTTGTGGTGATCGGCCAAGGCACCCAAAATTTGAATTTCAAATTCAAATTTTGGGTGTCTAAGGTTTAAAGTAATCGTACCATGGTCTACTTTAAACCCTAGTTAACCTAACTTCTCTCACAAACTTCTCCACTCCGATAAATACCCTAAACCTATGTAACTGATCACTTTTTGATGATATATGAATTTCATTTCAGAAATTTCTCTCAAAGAGTCCTTAGAACCTTAGGGAAATTCTCCCTTCTTAAGCACCTTCACAAAGGAATCCTTCCTTTGTGCTTTGGAGCTTCTTCTTCCTTCTTGAGGAAGACAAGATGATGGAAGACCATGGGCAAGGGCCTAATTACTAGAGTTATGGCCAAGAGAATTCATGATGGTTGGGCTAGCTTAGAGGATGGTGGGCTTTCTAAGACCAAGTTACTCTTTTCATGGTCCACCATTTCTTGAGGCCACATTGTATATAGAGTATGGTTTAGTCTTTGTATTTCTTTTGGCTTGTATTTTGGCTGAATTTGAGGCTAGGTTTTACATAGTCAATATTGGTCTCATTTTCTGTATTTTAATTTTAGGAATTTTGGACTAATTTATTTTTTACCTTATATTTTAGGCCATGTAGTTTAGGACCATTTAGGGTTAATTGGATTAAATTTAAAGTAGATGTAAATTAGGATGCATTTCATTTGAATTTGAAGCATGCATGGAAGACGACACTAAGGTGTCGCCTACATGCTTTAAATTCACTTAGAATGCACTCTAAATTACATCCAAATGGAGCATGTAATCCATGTGAGTGTGTGCAACCCTTTTATGACCGGCCAAGGCTCCAAAATTTGAATTTGAATTCAAATTTTGGGCGCCTAGGGTTTAAAGTGACCATACCATGGTCTACTTTAACCCCTAGTTACCCTTGGCTTCTCCCACAAGCTTCTCCACTCTATATATACCCTAAACCCATGTAGCTGACCACTTTTTGATGATATATGAAATTCACTTCTTAATTTTCTCTTAAAGAGCCTCAAACACCTTAGGGAAATTCTCCCTCCTTAAGCACCTTCATAAAGGAATCCTTCCTTTGTGCTTTGGAGCTTCTTCTTCCTTTTTGAGGAAGATAAACACCTCACGAATCCAACTGTATCTTCTTCCATTTCTGGATTTGATTTATTCCATTGGAACCTCAAAGATTGCGTGTGGACTTCGGAGGAAGCTAGGAGAAGCAATCAGATCACTTCTTCAAGAGTTCTTCCATCAAAAGACCAGCCACGGTTCAGTTGCATCTTCATCCATTTTCGAATTCGTTTTCTTCCATTGGAACCTCGAGGAATGCGTGTGGACCTCAGAGGAAGCTAGGAGAAGCAATTCCAATCACTTCTTCAAGAGTTCTCCATCAGATATGGTCATTAATCAATTCATACAATAATCTTACACGACAATTGGTAAGCATGAATTACCATGGAATGAAAGATAAGAGAAAGGATTTTCATGTAATTCAAAAAACATAGTTGTTTGGGACAAGTGGTTTATGTGCATTTAAGAGTAAATGAGAGTATGTTCCACACACAAAAAAAAAATTATCCACTAACATGTAGGGAAGGCAAATATACCCGTACCCGCGGG